CCCAGGGATGGCGAGGTCTAATTTGAATCTGCGCGTCGCCCTCACTGTGCTGAGCCCCCCAGCAGGTCTCGAAAATGGCGACAGTTTCACAGATCGCAGCCCCCCAGGGATGGCGAGGTCTAATTTGGGTCTGCCCGTGGCGTCACTGTGCTGGGCCCCCAGCAGGCCTCGAAAGTGGCGACAGTTTCACAGATCGCAGCCCCCCAGGGATGGCGAGGTCTAATTTGAATCCGCGGTGGCCCTCACTGTGCTGGGCCCCCAGCAGGCCTCGAAAATGGCGACAGTTTCCAGATCGCAGCCCCCCAGGGATGGCGAGGTCTAATTTGAGTCCGCGGTGGCCCACTGTGCTGGGCCCCCCAGCAGGCCTCGAAAGTGGCGACAGTTTCACAGATCGCAGCCCCCCAGGGATGGCGAGGTCTAATTTGGGTCCGCCCGTCGTCACTGTGCTGGGCCCCCCAGCAGGCCTCGAAAGTGGCGACAGTTTCACAGATCGCAGCCCCCCAGGGATGGCGAGGTCTAATTTGGGTCCGCCCGTGGCGTCACTGTGCTGGGCCCCCCAGCAGGCCTCGAAAGTGGCGACAGTTTCACAGATCGCAGCCCCCCAGGGATGGCGAGGTCTAATTTGGGTCCGCGCGTGGCCCTCACTGTGCTGGGCCCCCCAGCAGGCCTCGAAAATGGCGACAGTTTCACAGATCGCAGCCCCCCAGGGATGGCGAGGTCTAATTTGGGTCCGCGCGTGGCCCTCACTGTGCTGGGCCCCCCAGCAGGCCTCGAAAATGGCGACAGTTTCCAGATCGCAGCCCCCCAGGGATGGCGAGGTCTAATTTGAATCGCGCGTGCCCTCACTGTGCTGGGCCCCCCAGCAGGCCTCGAAAATGGCGACAGTTTCACAGATCGCAGCCCCCCAGGGATGGCGAGGTCTAATTTGAATCTGCGCGGCCCTCACTGTGCTGGGCCCCCCAGCAGGCCTCGAAAATGGCGACAGTTTCACAGATCGCAGCCCCCCAGGGATGGCGAGGTCTAATTTGAATCCGCGCGTGGCCCACTGTGCTGGGCCCCCCCAGCAGGCCTCGAAAATGGCGACAGTTTCACAGATCGCAGCCCCCCCAGGGATGGCGAGGTCTAATTTGAATCTGCGCGTCGCCCTCACTGTGCTGAGCCCCCCAGCAGGCCTCGAAAATGGCGACAGTTTCACAGATCGCAGCCCCCCAGGGATGGCGAGGTCTAATTTGAATCTGCGCGTCGCCCTCACTGTGCTGGGCCCCCCAGCAGGCCTCGAAAATGGCGACAGTTTCACAGATCGCAGCCCCCCAGGGATGGCGAGGTCTAATTTGAATCTGCGCGTCGCCCTCACTGTGCTGGGCCCCCAGCAGGCCTCGAAAATGGCGACTTCACAGATCGCAGCCCCCCAGGGATGGCGAGGTCTAATTTGAATCTGCGCGTCGCCCTCACTGTGCTGGGCCCCCAGCAGGCCTCGAAAACGGCGACAGTTTCACAGATCGCAGCCCCCCAGGGATGGCGAGGTCTAATTTGAATCTGCGCGTCGCCCTCACTGTGCTGAGCCCCCCAGCAGGCCTCGAAAATGGCGACAGCTTCACAGATCGCAGCCCCCCGCAGGCAAGACAGGAAGAGGCAGGGAGGGAGGGAGGGAGGAGGAAGGAAGGAAGGAGTGGAGACCACACTGCTCTATTCAAAACGAATACCCAACCAAGGAGGGTTGGGAAATACAGTGTTTCGGCGTCCGACGGGACAGGCCGTGACTTCGATCGATGGCCCGCGAGATCGCCCCAACAGAGCCCCCAAGGCAAAGAGGGCCATAGAGAGGCCCAAGAGGGCTGCAAGAGGGCCCCAAAGGCTTTCAACATTGCCCCAAGAGAGAACCAAGATGGCTCAAGCACAATGCCACGAGGCTCCCATATCGACAGGTCCGCGAAGGCATGTATGGTTGACTTCTGGGCCTGTTCAGGATGATCCCGCTCTTCGATTTGACGGCTGCCCCCCCCACCCCCACCCACTCCAACCCCCTCTTTGTTCTACTGCGTGCTCCCAGATTTTCCTGATCAGTGCAACTCGCCTGAGCATCATTGGCTGGTGGGGATACTTTTTGATCGCGACCGCGGCGAGAAGATCGGGCGGCATCAAAGTCTGGTGGGGATCCGCGAAGCGACCTCATCTGCTCTACTCGCGGTTGCTGGAGGAGCACCGAAAGGCGGACGCTCGAGCTTTCGCTCACGGGGCAAGATCCCGCTGGAAGCGGGCATAACACAGCAGAAGCACCCCTCGAAAAAGAGAGGGCACGCCAGTGTGGTGGACCCTCTCGTGCCCTTGTTTGTGGTCCAATCCAATCCGTTGATCATCATCCTGCTCCTCCTACTCCTCCCTCTCCTCGTCCTCGTCCTCCTCGTCCGCCTCCTCCTTCTCCTCCTACTCCTCCTCCTCCTCCTGATCAACCTCGCACCATCCTGTATCCTACTTCTAATCCACCTCCTTTCTCTTGGAGGGAGGGTTTTGTTGCAACCGTTGCTGCACCTTGGGTTTGCAGTGGTCCTCCTCCTCCTCCTCATCATCATCTTCTGCCCCCCCCTCCGTTCAGACACTGCTGGCTGCCTCAACAAAACCCTCTCCCGCCTCCCTCTTCCTCGCCCGGCACCTCCCTGCCCAAGGCTGGGCAGCGGTTGCCGGAGCCCGAACGACCTTCTGCTCGGCGGCCATGGGTCGGGAGCGGCCAAGAGGGGGGTGTCCAAGAGGAGGGGGTGCAAATCATGACCGGCGGCATGTGCGCGGCCCAGCGGGGGGGCCAGGGACGTAATGAAACAAGAAGAGGCGCCATGAAATCTAGGGAAATATCATGGCCCACGCCATGATATCCACCCCCCCCCTAGTCATCACCCCCCTCTTTTCCGCCCCCGAATGGGCCAGCTGCCAGACAGCAGGGCCGCCGCCGGAATTCGCGGGCGCACCGGCAGGAGTGTGCCAACTGTCGGCCTGCGCCGATCACGACCAGGCCCCATGCTGGTCGGGTGTTTCTCAAGGGGCCCCGGCCCGAGGTGCACGCCCAGGACTGCCAGAGAGGCCCCAGCTGCCTCCAGAGCACACCTCACGAGGCCCAGAGGATCCCAGGGGCTCCAAAATTGGGCGATGAGCTGGGGGCGCCTTGGGCCAGGGGCACCTTTCGCAACCCCCGACCTGGACCCAGCATCGGCGAACACGCCCTCTGGTCCAGCACCGGGGGACTTGCCGTCGCTCGGACGTCCATTTCCCGTGCATTTGTCGGTTTCGTGCGTGTTTTTTTTGCCCGATGGTCCAGGATGGTCTTCAGGGGTCCTCGCCGAGAAAAAAAATACACATGTCCGAGCGATGCCAGGGGCAAGGAATGCATGCAAATCCTGGGCACAAATCTGGCCTGGTCTGGAGAGGTGCAGGGCGAATACTTGGGATCTCCCGTTCACGTTCATGCACTGGCCACGGCGGCCTCGACGGGGGGGCTGCTGCAGAAAGGAGAACTCGGGGTCGCCGATACTCCAGCGGAGCAGCTGCCAAACGCCTGAGGATGCGTTCATGGACAGAGGAGGGAGGAAGAGGAGAATGGGCCAGACTAGACCCAAGATGCACCAACGATGCTGCGATACGCCCACCTGTCCCGAGGTCCCATCCTCACGAGCCCTTACAGAGATTCCTGTTCAGTGCGGGGAATGCCCCGTTGCAAGACCAACGCCCCATGGCCCTGAAGAGTTGGGGCGAAAGCCCAGTTTGGAAAAGGAGCTGCCGTCCGCGCTGCTGGCTGTGAGGACGGCGGAGAGGTGCGGTCTGAAGGCCCAAAAAGCAAAGTCCAACGGCAGCCCCGCTTTGAAACAAGAAACGCCCTCAATCCGTGTGAAATCCGACCCGCTGTCTTCGGCGGGCTGGAGACGAGGGGGGACCATTCCAAATGGATCAAGGACCGACTCTGGGAAGGATATGTTGTACCAGCGACCGAATACTGCGCGGTGGGGGACTTTAAAGGCCTTTCTTGTTTGCAAGCTTCCCTAGGCAAGAAGACCGTGACACAGCAGTTGCCACAACACGCATTCTCAAACATGATTTGCCTGATGGGTAACGCGCTTGCGCCAAAGAAGAACAGCCTTTGGGACTTCGCGTCGCACGCGAAACCCTTATTGGGAGCCAAGTGGATGCTTTCCCAATGGGGCAATGAGGCTATGGGAAGGCGTCAGTGTGGGTGGACGAGGATACCTTCACCTTGCAAATGCGGATCGAGAAGGTCCTCAAGGCAACCGTGGTGGAAAACGCCCTGAAGGTCGACTACGGGACCAAACGGGAGGACTACCTCCAGAGAGCGTAACGGAAGAAGATTATGCAAAAGTGCGGGGACTAACTTTTCCAGAGCACTGGGAAGGAGGGCGTCGGCAAGGGCAAGGGCAAAGTCAAGAGCAGAACACCCCATCAGCCCGATCAGCTCAGAGTCCGGATGCATGTTTTTTCTGGGGGAGGCCTTTCTGGAATATTGCAATACACACAGCAAATCGGCGAATTAATGTTTTGGCCGAGCTTGAGAACGTGCAGTGGGATGCCGTTTGCTTCTCCGAGACACGGACTCCAACAGGGGATGTCATTCTTGATGGTGGTCACCGTCTGATTTCCAATGGATGATTCTCATCACCTTGGCGTTGCCATACTCTTGCACCGGCAACTGGCTGAACAAGTCAGTCGAATTCATAAATCTTCGGATCGGGTGTTAGCAGTGAATGTGAAAGTTGGCGGAGTGAATTTTCGAGTCGTGTCGGCATTTGCCCCTCATTGTGGCTATGGGCGCGGCGCTCTGCAGACATTTGTCTGATTGCACAGCCGGCCACGCGGAGTGAGACGCTCTGCACGGCACATTGACATTGAAGGGTATTTCAATGCTCAAGTGCATGCAAGTTGGCGCAGCCTCATGATTCAAGCCTTCATTGCTGAACATGGTTTAGAGATTCTTTCAGACCCGCTGGACGTGACATGGAGCAGACGGTGGACATATGAAAGCACGCTCGGACACAGGCGGCAACTTCATTACATCTTGGCAGACAACGTGCTGACGGCTCAACGAGCAGAAGCTATTCGGGAACTCCACTGCAGCTCTGATCATAGAGCGGTGATGGCTCCTGTGCCTCTTCCTCGCAAGGGTCAGCGACGGGCGCGGCGAACCAAGCCGAAATTGTACTGGCACGGGTCAGAACCGTGCCAACAACCAGCGGCCACGGAACTGGTCGAGACCGGGTTCATTAATTCGTCGAGCGGCTTGCACGAGTGTGCACAGACAGCTGGTGAATCTCCAGGCGCGACCACGACCGGTGGCGCGACGGCGGACGAGGCTTGGGACCCGGCTGCGCTCAGAGAACTAGGACAGGGGAGGCGAGACTGCAGCGATCGTCACGACAGGGCGCGTTCTTCTCCGGCACGCATTGCGACAGGCGCCCGGCGCCTCTTGAGAAACTGGCAGACAGACCGACGAACGGAACAGCTGTGAAGTCGGGCCTGTCCCCCTACAGGGGGATTCTCGACGAACATATAAAGAATACCCCAAAAATGCACCAAAAAGGTCAAAAAATACTCCAAAAACAGCCCCCCGACGATTTCTGCATTATTTTTGGACTATGTTGGAGCTATTCTTTATTTTTCGTCGAACATCCCCCTGTATGGGGGACACGCCCGACTTACAACAGCCGTCGAAATTCGAGGGCCCGGGTCGACTCCAGCGAGCCCGCGCCGAGCCCGCGCAGGAGCGCGCGTCGCGGGGGCCGGCGCCTCGTGCTGCGGTCCTGCAGCGGGCAGCCTCGCGACCTCGGAGGTGCTCGGCGACAGTCGAGGCGTTGACCTAAGGAACCCTAAATAAGGAACGAGGCCGCAATCGACTACCCCCAAGAGCCCCCCAAGAGGCCCTGGGGGCCTCCAAAACGCCGCCAAGGAGCCCCAAGAGACTCCCAAGAGGTCCCCAAGAGGCCCCCAAGAGGCCCTAAAGTGGGCTCCAGGGCCGGCGGCATGAGCGAAGCGATTAAATAAGGAACGAGGCCCCTATTTTCCATGAGTTGAACTTCGATTTCGTATCGAAAATCGAAGGAAAGTCCAAGGCAAGCTGCGAAACACTGAAGGAACACGGAGCCCCTCCCCAACGAAAAGGGTTCCTTCTTCAGGGCCCCGACTGTACTCGCGCAGATCCCACAGGTCAGCGCGATCGAGCTGAGGAGGGCGCTCAGGCAGCTGTCGGGAGGCAGGTGCGCGGACAAGCACGTTGTCGTCCTGGGAAGGATTGCGACAGGTGGCGCCTCATTGCACAACGTCTTACTTGAAACGCTCAACTAAGTCTTGCGCTCGGGGGATCTGCTGAAGACTGGAGCGAACTCTTGTTCATCATGATCCCCAAGCCGGGCTCTAGTAATCAGGCAGATTCGAAAACTGACGGCCCATCGCAGTGTTGCTCGTCACGTGCAGGGTGCTTGCAAGTATGTGAGCGTTTTTTTTTTGTATGCGGCGTTTCAACATTGAGCGAAAACGGGGGGCAGGGGGTGTCTGGCTCCAGACCTCTGCTTCGTGCAACTGTTTGCAGGATTGCTGGCCCTAGGGGAGACTCCACCCACTCGAAACAGGCGCCAAAAAGAAGCCAAGATCTACTCCATAGGGGGGGGTGGGGGGCCCACGCCGATCAGCAAGACAATGAATAAAAAACGATCACTATGCTGAACAACCGACGGGAGCCCATCATGGACGGCGAGCAAGCCTCTGAACAATTTGGCTTTAGGCCCAAAACGGGCGTCGATCACGCCCTCCTGGTGATGGAGTGCGTCATAGGTGAATCGTTCTGGTCTGGATCGTCAGCATCGATCTGAAGAAGGCCTTCGGCGACAACTCGTTGTTTGACGCTTTGCGGGAGCAAGATGTCGACGAGTCCTACCTCGCGCTGCTGGCGCGACTGTGCTCTGGGCAGTCCGGTAACGTCGGTGGACAAGCGTCGTTCCCTATCCGCCTGTGCGTGCGCCAAGGAGACATACTCAGCCTTGCTTTGTTCAACGCCGCGTTGGATTCTGTGTTGCAGCGGTGGAAAGCGAGGATGTGCAACTGCGGCCTGCTCCTGGACAGCGCTCACGACAGGCTCACGAACACGAGGCATGCCGATAATTTGTTGCTGCCCAGGAAGACGCTCGACGCTGTCTGAAGAGCTTGCCAGAGCAAGCCTCTCCATCAGTGGCTTCAAGACGAAGATATTGACCACGGATTCCGAGTCTTCGGACAGCCATGCCCCGCTTCTGGGTGACGCTGGCGAATGCATAGCGGAGATATTGCGATGCGAGGCAACGCACAATATTTGGGGTGCCTGTTCTCTGGAGACTTACACCGGAAAAAGGCACTGCAATTTGAATCACCAGCTGGCTTGCGGGTGGGTGAAATTCCACACTTTAACACCGACTTTGCTGAACCAGAAGATTTCTACTCCGCTGCGCCTCAAGCTTATTCAAACTGTCGTTGTCGTTACCCCTGCCGTCTGCTACGGCTGATCGACGACACCGCTGACTTCGGAAAAGACGGGCAAGCTGGTTGCCGCAGAAAGAAAGACGCAACGCGAAACACTCGATGGGTTCGTTTTGACGACGAAATTGGGAGACCACATGGCATCGCAAGTAAGCAAGATTAGAGGCCGCGCTCCAGCGGCATGCTGTGCAGGAGTGGAGCAACGCACGGCAGCTCGCCCTCGAGTGGCTTCCAACGTCTAACCACGCGGCTGCGCACGACTCGATTCGAAAAAGCGACTTCTCGACTCCCTGCCCTCCTCGGGGGACCCAACATACACGGCCCCGGCGCAGGAAATACTACCAGGAAGGTGGAATGCCTTCCTTCGCCGGGGTTCAACTTTCGCGCGGGGGCTTCTCCACCTCGAGATGTGACCAGAGATAAAGACCCCAGACTGTCTTTCCCTGGGGATCAGCTCGACCTCGGCACTCCCGAGGCCGAACCCAAACCAGGCGCCGCTCCAGACTCTCTCGGGCATACCAGCCTCGACACTCACAATACTGCTCGGTACTGCTCGACCTGTTCCTGGGACGCGGCAAGGAGGAACGTCGTCTCCGCCCTTTCGAGACGACTGCCCCCGATCAGGGCCCCAGGACCTCGCCTCGGGCTCGGGAAGGGTTCCCTGAAAAGCTCGGCCGACGCGGGCCCGGTCGGCGCCGGCACGTCGGACTCGGCCCTCAGGAGGGTCCGTCACTCTCTCCACCGGGGTAGGGGGGTTGTTCAATAGCCGCCGGCCTCGAAAGACTCGCACGCCCCGCAGGCGCTGGAAAGCCCGATCCCGACTGGCGCCTCCACACATCCGAACGCCTCCAGGATCCAGAAGCCTGGCCCGAGCTCGCGGCCCCCACCCACTGCCGTTCCAGGACGCTCCCCGAAATCTCTGGAACGCCGGGGGGGGGGGGGGCGGGCGGGAAGCGGTTGCCGCCGGGTCGGAGATGCTCGGAGCATCAGATGGTGGAGGCATCGAGAGAAGGCGAGGCCCCCGGAGCCCTTGGATGATTCATGCCATCCAGAGCCATCCAGACCCCGTAGATCCATGGGAACCGCCGGCCCCGGGCACGACTGCGACGGGCGGCATCGGAGCCTCTCGGGGCCCCGATGCACCAGGGGAGGCCTGCCGGAACGTGTCTTCGGAGGTGCGGTATTCCATCGCGCCCTGCGCTGCCCAGATTCTGCGATGGCTCGGTGGACGACTGAGATTCCAACGGACAGGGGGGGGGCTGGATGGCCTCATCGGGAGGCGGGACCCGCGCCCCCAGCGCCTCGGGGAGAAGGGCCCCCTCCCTAAAAAAAACATCCACGCCAGCCCGGCGTTGACCCGTGCGAACGCCTCCCGAATGAGAACGGCCACAGCAGGGTCATTCAACATCTCTGCACCTCTGGCCTCGGGAGCGGCGGCGGGACAGAGCTGTTCCGACGAGCGCTTCCAGAGTCTACCGCGCATGCTGACCCACGCCCTGTTGTTGTTGGAAGATGACCATGCCAGGCCTGGCCCGTCTGTCGCGTCGCAACGCACAGGCCCCCTTCTGCGAGCGCGCGGCCCGCCTCCACGCACACACCCCGCCCGCGGGGCTGCACTTCGCATCCTTGCGCGGAGATGCCCCCCCGCAGCCTTTAAAACTGGCAATGCCCACCCGTTGGAAACACTACAAAACGGCGGATGGCCACCGCTCGACCTAAGACAGCGGCGGCGGCGCCCTGACCCCAGACAATTTCGCCCAGATCTTCTCGGTCGACTAGGCCGAGGGGGCCAACGGACACCAGCTCGAGGAGAGGGCGGCGGCCGCGCCCGAAAGACAAGCGGCCCGGAGAGAGGCCCCGGCGGCGAGGATAATTGTTCTTCGAAGTGGCGGCCTCGAAAGCGAGGAGCTCGAGGTCCTTCCATCGCGAGAAACGACTCTCTCCTCGGGCCTTCTCTGCATCAGGCCCCTGGCCCACCCCCCGGGCCCTTTTTTCCGCGCTGCCGTTCCCCCAGGAGGGCCCCAGCATCGGTGGCGCACTGCAGAAGTCCCCGTCGTTCGGCCCCCCGACAGACTTCCGACTGGAACTCGGCCCCGCCGCCGCGGGCGGCAATCATTCCGAGAGGGCCCAAGCGCATGCATGACCCACGAGCTCGCGAAAGCATGATAATCATCTCGGGATGCCCGAGCGTCGCAGCCGCCGCATCGAGCCATCGCCCGGCAGTTGACATCAACGTCGACGATCCCGTTGACAAAGAAAGCGCGCGGCATCGCTGCCTTCCGATGACGCCCTGGCCCGGGCTGCGCCCCGCAGTCTGGGAGCGAAAACCCCCTCTGACGCGCCCCGGCATCTCCGGGCGCACGCGGGCAGCGCGCAACTCGGAGAAACAAGGGGGGGGGGGCAAGGTGCCCCAGGTTGACGCAAACCCGGCAGACAGATTTTCGAAGTGTCATCGACGCGAAGAGAAAGCAAAGATTCGCCCTCTCCGTCTTCGTCTTCGCCCTCGGCATCTGGGACGGGGTCGAGAGAACTGGCCGCGGGCATGGGCTCATCCCCCTGCCCGTCTGTCGGGGAAGATCTGGACTCGACGCACAGCTCGGACCAAAGCCACAGCGGGAGCCAGAGCGCCCCTGCCGTCGCGCCAGCGATGACACCGCGCCCGCGAGAAACTGAGACAAGGACGGAGGATATGCGATAGGCGTCGTCGGCCCTCCGAGCGCGGGCGCGACCTCCCAGCGCGAAATGTCCGCGGCCCCCAGGACCGTGGAATTACCGAAAGCTGTCCACCACCAGAGCACTGTCCGCAAGAAAAAAAAATCTCCCTGAAGAGACGGCCCTCGACACACACACACACACACACACACACACATACCGAAGCAACATATCCAAAGACAAAGACTGGACGCCTGGCACCGACGCAAGCTGGACCGCTGAACCGCCGAGGGGCCCCCCCAAGAGATGGCCGCGCCGGGGCGCCCCAAGATGAAAACCCTGCCCATGAGATGCAGCTCTGGAGCCTGTTGTCGGAGAAGCGCAGGTGGGTCTGCCCTCCTGCTCGCGCATGGCTCCCGAGACTGAGTCCACGGTGCTCTTGTTGACTCTGAGGATCCGGCCGCGCGACGTGCGCGGATGCTCTGGCATAGCGACACCTGGCGCGCCCTCTTCCGCGTTCCTGGCTGCCTCCAGACGGCCCCCAGACTCTCCGAAAGCCCAACTGGCCTCCAAATCGTAGCCCCCGAGGGTGGCAATTCGCCGCTCGGCGACCTCCGGAAGAACCCGCGCCGGAAAATAAATTCCCAGAAAAGCCCCACTGGCCCACTGACGCCGCCAGGAGCGTCGCGGATTTCGACAGCGCGGGGGCTGGCTGCGGGGCGTCGACAGGGCCAGCGCGGAACGGGTAATAAGTCCCTGCTTACGGACAAGGTAAGGCCCCGAACTTCACCATTACCCTGGGGAAGCCCCGCGACGGGTAGAACTTCGACTCGCTGCCGAGCATCTCCTCCTGGAAGAAAATCAACTCCTGAGAGAATATCGTCGGGGCCTCGCCCTGGGAAACACGCGATCGCCCAGGCGCAGCTATTCATCTTCCCCCCCGTTGAGCTGGGATTCGCAATCGCAGTCGAACTCACTTCCCCGCAGGAGCTGCAGCCAGGCCGCGCGAGCGACCGCGGCCAGTCGACGGCAAGCCTCAGCCTGCTTCGCCACTGGACAGGCATCGTTCGCAGTGGACCAGCAACCTTGAGAATCCTGCTTAATGGAACAACTCGCCTTGG